AAATAAACCAATCGGCGGTGCAAAAATTGCTTCCACCCAATGACGCAGTATAACTCCCTTTTACTTTGATTGAAAAAAATGAAAATAAATCAGCAAATACCCTACTATCTAACTCTACACTCATTAAAAACCCACCACCCTACTCCACTATTTAAACCTATCTAGTCCTACATCCTGCCAACAGCCTGAAAGAATGGAACACCACCACTCAACACACCCTGTAACTCTTCTGATGTCACGTATGCCCAAATACTTCTCTGCAGCTGCCACCACAACCTCTATTTTCTGCGACTTACGTTCCATCCCCGTAGTACAGTTGATAGCCATTGCTATGAACTCTAAAAAGCTAATATTACTGAAGCATATAGCACTCTTTGGCCTATTCCTCTGTACTGATACAGATCTACTACTCACATGACTCCGCTCAGGATCCCTCCCCCTTGACCCATCTTCCTCAACTATCTTCACTGCCTCAACATATGACACACTCTGCTCTACCCTAACCCTGGTAACCTCAACCTGCCTCTCTCGAACTGGACACTTCTGATCTTCTTTCCCCAATACTACACATTCCTTTGTCTCATGCCCTTCTGCACACTTCTCACACCTAGGAACCTCCATCTTACACACTGCTGCTACATGTCCATAAGCTTGACACCTGTAACAGCGTAATATATTTAGCATATAAGCTCGTACGGGATAACTGAAATATCCTAACATCACTTTGTTGGACAGAGACTCAACATCAAAACTCAAAAGAACAGACAATGACTCTTCTGTTTCACCTCTCACGCCACCCTGTCTGCATTGCACCAAACGACGTGTATCACAAACACCGGGAATCTTTCCCTTCAGTTGGTCCACTTTCACGTTCACCGCTACCCCAGTAATCACTTGTTTCAATGCCACCCTTTTCTTCAGAGCAAAACAAGTCACATCTCTTGTCCCAATCCTTTTGGAGCGAAGCGCTTGCTCCCTCTGACCAGCAGAAACACAAACAATTACACTTTGGGTTACCTTTGGGATTCCACAGCACCCAGCTCCGTTTTCACCCACCCTGAAACCACAAATGGATCAGCCAAAAGGTAGGGGTCCACCTTCTCCAAAAATGTCACTCCTACCGTTACAGACTCATCTTTATCCTGACCGTCGGTGCAAGCCTCGGGTGTTTTCTGGCAGAAATGTCTTCTGATACATGTGAACTTTCATGTGCATTAATAACAAACTGGTATGCCATCTGTAAATATATTGGGTTCTAAGTTGAAACAACTTGAAATATCCTTATTCATGTTAACATATTAGAACTGGGTGTATGCAAATCTACTGAGTGAGAAAGCGGAGTACAGAAAGTTTACATTCTGTCAGAACATGTTATGGTTAAATCTCATGTATCCTATGGAGAGGAGAAGGGCAACGG